CAATGTTAGCTGATATAGGATCGATGAGTTTGGAAAGGAGCTAACAAGCCAAAACATGGTTCCTTCAGTCAGTAAAATCCACAACAGTTAGTTTAAGCCATGCATATAGGAAGATGTAGACCTCGTGGTTGGTGTCCTCGGGACGGTAAACACCGATGTCTGGAGACAATTATTAATATGGTTCGAAATCTGTTTTTACTTTCTTCTCTTGCTTTGTGTGTCCTAAGTGAAGTGTGGCGACCCGAACTGCTGCACATCGGTGCAAAGTTCTATGTTGAAAATAGAGAGACAGACAGATGAAGCATAACATGGTGAATAAGTAGAACATGGAAACGTGTTATACTCTAATTGTAATCCTTACCGATTCAATTCTTTCAAGCCAAACCGTTTTTGATTCTTGTTCAACTATACTTTCATCACCATACTCAGGGTATTCATCAGTTTCATCGAAGAATTCTACCTGAAACATAGAGAAACGACGTTGTGGTAAATGATAAGATGCTCGAAAACTGTAAGAAGTGTTATATAGTAAATCAAAGCCATCTTTGATCCAAGTTACTAATATGAGAGGGTCTGGTTAGTCCCTAGCCTAATCACTAGCAGTAAAAAAAGTAATATACCCTAACGCTGAATAGGTTTTAATTGTTAACATAGACTGAAAGCTGAAGCTGAAAAAGACCTGTTAATTTGAAGCTTTCTTTTGCCCTTTTTTAACAATACCGCTGGATTGTCTGAATAGATTGAGATTTCGCTTCAATGCAAAAATTGTTCAAAATTGAATTAATCGGATTACAAGAGAATGGTTAGTGAAAAAAGAATATTCTTTCCAATAACCCACCCTTAATCGTGTTCTACAGTTATATATCCATGCATAATAGTGAATGAATGAATTAGTGTTATTAACAACATTAGTGTTGTCGTTTGAATAACATCGAATCAATCATAATATCAGTGGATTACAGTTCAATAGCATCAAGATAACAATACACACTGAATATCGGAAAATTAGGAAAGATAATAATACATATTCATGATTTGCAATTAATACTGTTCTCTGAGCTGGTTGGTTTAGTTGCGGAGCTTTCGTCGTCCTTCTGGACAGCATTCCCTATCAGCGCAATATTTAGCATAAAGTGAAATGATTTAAATTTCTTCAGGAGTGATATATTTGCGCCTCCCGGTAACCATCTTTACATATGCATTGACAGTTTTCTATTGACTTGGATTTTAAACTTTCTGGTCACCTGATTTACTTTTTATTAGTTGGTACGTTTAGTCTATATTAACGCGTTTGTTGATTGCATTTTCGTTTGAGTACCAGGCTTCTAGGAATTTCCTGGAACTTTTGTTGTTTCCTCTGTTTAAGATTTCGACATTATCCCAATCAAATTGATGTCCGTAATTGTCTATATGCATTGATAGTAAAGAATATATATCGTTTCTTTTCACGGCTGATTTGTGTTCTTGGATTCTAATTCAAAGGGAACGCTCACTTTGGCTGATGTAATGCCTGTTACAGTTCATACAACTTATTTTGTAAATGGTATTAATTTTATCCCCATTTTCTGTTGGACCTTTCAGTTTGCAAAGTATCGAATTAAGCGATTTGACTGGCTTGTGTACTATTATTATTTATTATTATTATATCCTTCAATTCATAGAGGAACATAAAGCTTCAACCGCCCAAGTCTCCATTGCCTTCTGTTTTCTGACAACTTTTTCACTCCGCTCCAAGTCTGCCCACATGCTTTCATCTCCTCCTCACATGACCTCCTCCAAGTCAACCTACACTTGCATTCACGACCAACTCGCCACCCGCTTCCCTTTCAGCCTGGTTCCACTCGAGCAATGGCTTGTCTAGTGATGTCACTCACTTGATGGTTTCCTCAGCGTATGGCCAGCCAATCCATCTCCATTTCTTCCTGCCTATTTGTTTCACAGTCGGTTCCTGCTGTGATGGTTGGTTCGCTCATTGCCAGAGATCCCATCCCGTTGGTGATATTTTCTGGCCGGCCATCTGATCTTGAGTGGTATTGAGCGGAGACAACTGTTAATGAAGGTTTGAAGTTTGTTTGAGATGCTCTTCATGACGCGCTGGCCAAGTCTCTGATCCGTATAGTGAGTAGCACTGACTGCCTTCACATTGGAGTTGAAAATCCGGATCTTACTTTTGATGGTGAGTGATGTTGACCTCCACACAGACTTCAGAGTAATGAAAGGTTGTCTTGCTTTTCCGATTCTGGCTTTGATATCCTCGTCAGTTCCGTCAGCCTGAAGTTGAAACGATGCTTACCATGTAGGTGGGTGGGTAGGTGAAGGAGGTTGTTTCTTTCAGGTTCCTCCCATTTATGCAGGCTGACTGTCGTCTGTTGTTGTTGTTTCTCTTGGTGTTGGGCAGGAATCCTCATCACCTACATCTGTTTTCTCTATGTTCACTTGAAGTCCTATCCTGTCTGGATGCTTCTTGTGCCAGCTTGTTGCTTTCCACTTGCATATCTTCCAGTTTGTGGGAAATCAGACATATATGCCACATCGGCGAAGTCCACATCCTCCAAGTTCTATTTTTGTGTGAGTCCATTTTATGCCTGTTTCCTCATTGGCCGCTAGCTGTCTGTCGCATTATCCAGTCTACTGCAATCAGGAAGATCATTGGCGATAATAGACAGCCAGCTTGCCTCACTCCCGTCCTCACTTCGAAGGCTTCCGTAAGTTTCCCGTTGTGGATTACTTGGAGGCATGCAGCATTGTCGTACAACTAACTGTTGGATGAGATGTATAATTGTCGATGGGAGCCCTTGGTAGTAGCGAAGTACTTTTCAAAAGACCCCTCGACCGACGCTGTCGAAGGCCTTTTCAAAGTCGATGAAGTTGAGTGAGGTAGAGAGGTGACTGCCATTCCAAGCTTTGTTCAATGATGATCCGTAGTGTGGCGATCCGGTCAATACATGACTTGTTTCTCCTGAATCCAGCTTGTTCCGGTCGGAGTTTTTCATCCAGGTTGGCTTGTTTGATTCTCTCCAGGTTGATGGGGCTTAGTATTTTGCTTGGGATGGACAGGAGCATAATTCCACACCAGTTTTTGCATTGACTTAAGTCTCCTCTATTGGGTAGTTTGAATAGGTATCCTTTTTTCCAATCCTCAGGTACCTTGCTCTCTTTCCACACCTTTTCTAGCAATGGGGTCATAAAGTCCGCTGTTGTCTTTGTTCTGCTGGGATTCCATCTGGTCCTGCTGCTTTTCCAGCTTTTAGCACCTTGATTACATTCAGGACTTCTGATTCGTTGGGGGGTGTCGATGTTCACTGGTAGATCTGCTTCCGTTGTTGGTATTGTTGGGCGCGTTGTAGGTGGCGGACGATTTAGAAGTCTTTTCAAGTTTTCAGCCCAGTGTTTTCTTTGTTCCACCTCTTTGGTGATTGACTTTCCATTGTCATCCTTCACTGACTTAATCTGTGTCGAACTTTTGCCGGAAAGGTGCCTAGTTGTTTGGTAGAGTGTGGCGAGGTCTCCTTTGCCTGTAGCTTGTTCTGCTTCACTTGACATGGCTTCATAATATTTTCTTTTGTCTTCCCTGGCGCTCTTCTTCACTCTTTTGTTCAGCGCATTGTAGCTTGCATTCAACTCCTGTTTTTGTTGCTCGTCGGTGCACTGGATAATCTTTTGTTTCACTATCTCTCTCTCTCTTCTATTAGTTTCCAGGTGTCCATAGTGAGCCACTGTTTGTCCTGCATCTTCTTTCTGCCAAGAACTTCCATGCAGGTTTGACTCCACACCGTTTTCAAGTTGTCTCAGTGCTTTTCGACGCCGATCTCTTCGCTAGTGTTGATTTGTGTCTCAGCTTTGTCCCTGATGTTTGCAATGAAGATGTCCTTTGTAGCCTGGTCCTTCAGTTTTTGAGTGTTGAACTTGGCTTGTGGTCTATCTGCAGCTCCTGTTTCCCTGAAAGCTTTTAATTTGATTTGGATTGTCCCTTGTACGAGGTAGTGGTCTGAGCCAATGTCTGCTCCCCTTCTTACTTTTGTGTCCAGTAGGCTGCGCCTCCACTTCCTTGAGATTGAGATGAAGTCAATTTGGTTTTTGGTTTGCTCATCTGGTGACACCGATGTAGCCTTGTGGATATCTTTGTGTTTGTATACGCTGTCACCAATCACTAGTTCATTGAAGGCGCAGAAGTCGGCGAAGAGTTCTCCATTTTCATTCATCTCTCCGAGAGCTTCTCTACCCATGATAAGTTCCCTTCCTGTGTTGTCTGGTCCCAGTTTGGCGTTCATGTCTCCCATTAGTATTTTAATGTCACCAGCTACTTTATGATTACCACAATTACATGGTGAAATACCCCAATCTCTTATTTTATTTGCTGTCATTCAATATGCTTTATTCGCACTCCTTAGATAAAGTAGTAGAATCGGGTCGCTTATTGAATATAGCTATGACAATAGGTTTTTATGAATTTACCACTTATATGAGTCGGATTTAATCCTTTTACACCGGTTACAGGTATATTTTCTTATAAATGCGTAATTTAAGGCGTAGCGCTCTTATGACTAATCGCACAAGATATAATTCGAGGCTATTTCAGTACATTAGAATATATGTGTTTAAATACTAGTTCACTTTTCATCCTGCCTTTTGAATGACTCAACAACACACCTTAGAGCATCAATCCTTTTTCATAAAATATTCAGAAGATTAATTCAAACAAAAGTTATTAATACTCTGGTTGACATGGTTTCTGAATAACGTCAATGTCTAAAGTATATGATTAAATGGAAAATTTTATCACGGCAATCTATTCAGCTTATATGAACGACTGACTCACTTTGTGTTTATTATTATTATTATTTCCAGTATCAAATTGAAGTGTATTGGAATACTTTATTTTTGGCATAGACAAATACTCATCTTCAACTTTATTTTTATTTAGTACACTTGAATTTAACATTTTACAGGCATTCTCTACTTCCAATCTTAGATACTGATTAGCTTGTTTAAGCGCTTTCACTCTAGCCTCAACTGAATCAGCTGAGTTCTCAGGGCTGTTAATATCACAGTCGGTGAATTTTTCTTCGTCCTGATCCCCAGGTGAGAAATGAGACGTTTTCACTTGTTCTGAAGATTTCGGTCTACTACTGAAAAAAAAGAAAAGAAAATAACATATGTACTGTTAGTATTTAGTAGTTTTTGGGAGGAAATAATTTATTCATAGTAGATTTATTGTTTCGCTGGGGTTTTCTTTTGATCGTGAGTCATTATTGGCTGAAAATCTGCTAAAAATCATAAGCTACTACTGGTTCATTACTGCGGTACTCTCTATTATTTTAGGACTCGTGAGCTAGATAAACCTGATTGTCAGTGAGTTTGTGTGTGTGTGTGTCTGTGTTTCCACTGTGACTCAATTCATTTTTTGTGAGACGAATATGAATTAGAATAATTTTTCTATTCTTGCGATGTCCGACCGAAATATTCGTGGATAATCGATGCGTCTCATTTCGGCATATGATCTCCTTGAAAGGTTTATGAAGTGATGAGTGTTAGGTTCATGTATCAGTGGTGATACTCGGCCGAAATGTGTGTCCTGGAATCCACCAGTGACAAAGATTAGACAGATAATCTTACTATTGTTGATATTTAAACGCAGAAAAATTTTGGTGAAATACGGCGCCAAGATGACTTGCTACGCAATAATAATAAAACAACATAGATTAAAAGTAAAAGTGTAGGTGCAGAGAACGGATAAAGAACTTCATCTGGAAGGAAAACAGTCATACTCAACAACTGCAAACAACATCGGTCAATTATCGTCCGAGAGGGAAGAAAGAAGGAAATTGCAGCACGTTCGCCCTTCACTACGATTCTTGGCCATATCTAATAGCGTTCCGAGTCACCGATTGGAGCTATCTGTCGGACTCCAACTGGGAGTTGTGACGCACCAACTGATGATAACCTAGCACAAATACCCTTCATCTCACGCCACACATTTTCAGCTGGGTAAGTCAGGTTTCAGAGGCGTAGAGCAAGACAACCCGCACCGAAGCATTGTGCAATCGACCTCTTACAGACAAGCTAATGTCGCGATGACGCCAGAGGTGGCTCAAGTTGACGTATGCCACCCTTGATTTCATGATACGGTTGGAAATCACATCCGTCATCCCTCCGCCAGCACAAACAGCTATTCAGATACAAAAACTTATCAATAACTTCAAGGGGTTGACCGGCAAGAGTGAGTTCAAGTACAGGCTCTTACCAATCTTGTAACAGTACTTTGCACTTAGACGGCACAAGGCACACACTATACTTACAGATACCCTGCTTACCTTGTGACGAGAGCTGGCTGCAAACAAGCCAAAATTGTAGACAGCAATTTACGTCAATGTTACGTCCCAAATCAGGCTCATGAGAAAAACAATAACAAAGCTTAACTTCGAGAAACACACCAACCAATCTTAGCAGACTCAATGTGTGCAAATACGATTCGGGATATATGACTTAACTTTCTGAGAAATGGTCACAGGCAGTAGAGAATAACCTTCGGCAAGAAAACAACCAATCAGAAGACGCAGCTTCTTCACTGACAGTAATGTACATAAATATCTATAAATACACCTTGATTGTCTCAATAAACAATCTGTTGCCTGGCCCTTGTATTCTGTCGTTACAACCTGACTATATAACACCATTTAAAGAATAGCAATTAGAAGCTGATACATTCTCATTCTTGAACTTTCGGGTGTCAACATAAGACGATGAATAGTAGGTTAGTGTATTAGCTAAAAGCAGTATGGATGGTTAGGTGTTCATTTGTCATTTGTCCTATTTTTGCTTACCATTGATTCAAGAACAACTAAAGGGATATATAACCTGGGAGAACAGGTTTAAGTTAGACGAGGACCTTATATTGATGTTGAAAAGTGTGCTGAAATTACAAGTCCTCTGAAGAGGTCAGTAATAACTTAATGTTTGATAGGATATCTAGATTTGAGACAGAATTCTCCTTCTTTTGACACTTATTCAGTCCTTGAGGTAAGCAAAGTTGACAGCGGTGGTAATATGACCTATTGAATGGTGATAACAAATAAATAACGTTGGTGATTCAGAACTTCCTTGCAACTAATTTATGACATGTTGTAACACCTAGTGCTTGTATACAATTAAACAAAATATTGAAGATTCGGAAATATTTCTGTAGACTTTAATGCACAAAACTGTCTCTCATTTTTGGCTAAAATATTCTAAGTAAACCATATAGTTTTTTCCTGTCTATAATAGAAAAGAATACACTTTTTATACGTTTTAGATAGACCTATTACGACTTATTGGACTTTGCTGAAAAAAAAATTTTCTTCACTGCAACCGTCCTATTTAATTATTTGCATCGATTAAAGATGGTCATTGGAAATTTCAAAAGATTGGACAGCTTCATCATCAGGTATTATGGAATATGTAAAGTTGTAATACTAAATTGAACGTTAATATTACAAAGTAAATGATTATGAATGACAACTAATGTACAGGAATAAAGTCTCATGAGTTATGTTCATATCAACTGCCATTCATATTGATTATAACTACCACAGATGGATGAGTGATCATGTCAAGGACAGGGAGAGATAAAAGGGGTTTTTTGGGGGTTCAAATTTATGTGCGTTTCGTATGTGTGTAAGTTAACAATTACGTTTAAGTAAGAGAACAAAAGGTTAGTTAATGAAACTGTAATGACAAGGGGTAGGGAAATTCATATGTACAGGATGGAGGGCCATAACAGATGGGCTGATCTAAATGATTCGATGTTACTCTTTTTAAAAAAACCACTGGTGTTGTCAATAACAATCATTCTGTCATTATACCTCCCTTGGCCTATTAAGAAATAACCAAATGATGATTTCTACACCACCCCTTTCTTATATTTTCAACCCCTCTCTTATCATTCATTAATCTTATCACATTTTCATTATACACGTGTTTCATTAACTTCCCTTACAATCTCAGTCTAGCATTACTTAATCGGTTCATTTGTTTTTTCTTGGCCTTTATCGACTACTTCGTCTACCTCAAACTTGTTTGTTTAATCATGCTGTTTGTCGTTGTTCTTGTTATCACAGATTGCTTCACTTTTTCATCCTTATGACTGATAAAATTATTATTATTATTAATACAACTGTATAAACTGATGATGGGTCGGTGACATAGCGGTTAGGACGCTCGCCGACCATGGACTTGGTCCAGGGTTCGATCACCGGCCGACGAACTCCTTTACCTCGCTAAGCCAGAAATAATGCTGGTAAAGAGGAAATGTTGGGCATGAGGCTAGCAACCCCATCCTGTAAAAATAAAAACACCGCTAAAGAAACTTCAAGTCACTAGCTTGGATCCCTATGTTCCAGTGGGGAACATGAAGAAAAAAAATAACCTGATGATGAAGTTATCGAAAAGAATATTCTTTGTTCACCAATCAATCGTTTGAGACTTAGTCGCCTTGATATTTAACTTGAAGACAGTGTTGTACAGATAGCATATTTTCTAGGTAACAGATGAATCATATTTACAATCTGTCGCAAAGATTACAAACCTTGTCAGCTGAAGCCTTGGCAATGGTATTCTTTCTTTATATTCCATTTTCTCTGTATTTGTACTTGCGTTTGAGCATTTCTGAACAGCTTGAACCCCAGTTGAAACTTTCTTTGCAGTGGAATCAATTTGTATCCTTTTAGTATATGCAGAAAGAGAAATTTCAGAGTTACAAACTAGTAAAAATCAAAATTTTACATGATTTAGAAAATGACCAAGGTGGCAAACAAACCCCTTGCCTCCTTAACCAATCTTATTACTGGTTTAGAGAGTTAAAGAAATGCGTTGGCCAGGGATCGAACCCCGGACCACATGCGCGTAGTCGGCGAGCATTCTACCGCTTTACCGCCAACGCACAAGAAGTAACTGAAGATATCCACACTGTTGCCACATAGGGAAGGGATGTCGGAAATCCAACGCATGACTGGCATTGTAACCAACATGCCTACTTAGAGACAAGGTGCTTTATAGGTTAAAAGACTCTATCGATTTGATTAGATAAAAATAACTTTTCTATAAAAGTGTCTATGACATCGACTACGTAGATCAGTCCAACAGGTAAGGGTTAGTCAGGTCATCGGAATCATAGGAATGATTGACCTTGAAAAGATAACCAACCTACCTACCAAAACCTCATTAATTACAAGGTGCACACACAGTCGCACAATAGTTTGTTACATATCTAAAGTTCCAATAGGTAATAGAGTTAATTAGTTTGAGGAGCTGGTCACTGAATCTTTGTTCACACCGCATCTGCATCAGAAATGAAATGCAGTATCCACAATAAAGATATGTAGGACATTATTAACAAGAAAATCAAATCATAGGAAACTGTGGATTATATATATATTTTTAAAAATCTGAAAGTTCTATGAGTATGCTTATGTGATTTGGAGTAATAAACTGAGCTGGAAACATCATCAGTAAGACACTTTATCACTATGTGTTTTGTGTATCAAATAAAATTATTCTTTGATGGAAGCACACAACCTCTTGTCATTTAATGTTTCGACCAGATGTGTTTATATGTCGATACACCTAATTTAATGGTGACGTAATTCTGTTAAAAATCAAACTTTGCTGTAACGCACTGTAAGACACACTCATCGCATAATATACTTATCCTCAACATATATTTTAGAGTGTGTGTGTGTGTGTGAATGCACTGAGATAAGCCTAGACTGTCGTCTTTCTTACACAGCTTTCACTTCTTTTCTCTGTACTCTCAGGAATAAGCTTCGTTATCCCAGAATCGTAATAACTATCTAGACTAGTAGCATCCCTCGTAGAAGGTGATGACTTAAGAACAGATCCGACAGCATGAACAAAAAACCTGCAGAATCAAACGACTAGTTATCCAGTAACTCTTGGGTTCCAGTAATCCTCTGTAATGACGACAACAAATATGGGTTGCAATCTGAGATGAGTGAATTGGTAGAAAAACACATTTTTCTAGAAATTTTGCAGCAATTTTATTCTGCCACCGGTAGAAAAACCAGTTTTGTGCGCTTTCAAAAAAATGCTCTCTGCGATTCAAACCCGCATAACCCCGTTGCTGAAGTCAGAGACGTCACAATTGACTCATAACATTGGATACTCCCTGATGACAGTTAGTTGTTAGTTACAGCAAAAGGTCTTTAGCTACACTGTTTCTGAGTTATCCAATGACTTTAAGGTGTCAATGAGATTGTGAAGGCTGAATTTACCAGTTCTTAAGTGAAATTAGTTTTATTTTTGTGTTTGTCCAAATGTTTCTTGATATACAAGCAAACTTCGTTAGTTTCGGGATTTCATCATAAGCTAACATTAGTTAGAGAACCATTGGAAAACCTGGGAGTACTGGACAGCTGTCTCGTCCTGGTTGGAGACTCTTCAGCAGTACGCACCCACTGGGATTTAAACGCAGGACCTTCCGGTTACAAGGCGAGCTCGTATACCATTAAGCCACTGGGACCCGATCCAATGGTCCTTGAATTCTAACTTCTGCCAATTCACGATTGTGTCTAGGACTGTCAACACATTAAGTTTATAAGTTAGTATTAACACTCTGTAAATAAATTGCACAGAGTTTAACGAAGATATTTTTATTTACTTCAGCTTGTCCAATTCCTCTTGAAGTCGGTTATACTCATTTTGTAAATTCTCTCTTGATAATTTCACAGTTTCTAATTCATTGCACAATGTTCTGTTTTTCGATTCAACTGAATCAAGCTTCTGTTTCAATGATTTGTTTTCATCATTTCTCTGAAAGTAGTTAGTGATCGAAAATTTTGAAATTAATATAGCCCAGTATTCATATTACTCATTTGTATAAAGGATAGCACAGCATATACACCTTTAATAATTAACAGATTGATTCCAAACGCTACTTTTGATTTTAAAAAATGAAATTTTAAGCGTGTAATTAATCCTAACCGTCTTCAGCTACTCAAGGATTGACTTATTACCACCAGGTGATAATCTTGTTGACTTGCAATATCTGTCTGTCTGTCTGAATTTAACATAGAACTTGGCACCGAAGTGCACCAGTTCGACTTGACACGTTCCAAATAGCACACAAAGGTAGACAAGAAGATGAGTGAAGAGAATCAATAGAGTATGACAAGTATAAAAGTGAAACAGAATGAATAATGGTAGAAAGGAATATGAAAGATTACAGACACTGAATACATGTGCGCTGGCCATTGACAACGATTTTGAGCCATGTCACCTATTGTCTCCAGCCATTGATTCCTAGAGTCCTGAGGGCCCCAACCCGGAAGTCTGCATCTCCCTACCTGACTCAGTTTAACTGTCAAGGATTTATTTCATGGATTGATGGCATGTTTTTGTTTGGCCACCACTTACCCTTTTCCAACCTGCACCTATGTCAGCTAGTAATGCCCGTCGGGGGAGGCGATGGTTAGGCATGCACACCACGTGACCTAGCCGTCTCAATCTATGTAACTTTAAAGCCTCGTCGATTGATTTTCCCTCTTTCCCCAACACTCTACGCCTAACGTCAACATTACTTACCTTATTATACCACCTAACGTGAGAAAGAGATCGCAGACATCTATGATCGAAAACAGTCAACCTTTTCATGTCTTCAACTCGTATTGGCCATGTTTCAGAGCCATAGAGAAGGACGGAGCGAACTGCTGAGCAGTACACACGTCCCTTGGTTGATAACCGGATGTCACGCCTACGCCAGAGATGGTGTAAGTTAGCGAAAGCAGCTCGAGCTTTTTGGATCCGTGCTGAGATTTCGTGGTCAATCAGTCGGTTGGTGCTGATACAACTTCCCAAATAGGTGAAGTGGTCAACATGTTCTATCACTTCACTCCGTATCACTAAGCTAGGAGTTGACGTAGTCCAGTCCTGTAGCAGCATATTACATTTTGTAGGGGCGAATCGCATGCCATACTTGGAATATGCAGATGATATAGTCCTCCCCACTTTGTGGGGGAAACGCTGACAAAAAGGCAGAGTCTTCTGAACACCTTGAAGAGCAGCAATCATCGAATGTTTGGCATGAGATTCGTTCGTCCTGTCAAATGTAAGATGGCGCTACAGGGCTGCACTACATAGACTGCTAGCTTTGAAATCGAAAGTGAAGAGGTAGAGCGTGTCGACCGCTTCACTTATATGAGGAGTTGCATCAGCTAGAGTCAACAGGTAGATCGCTGACGAAATCTCAGCACAGATACAGAAGGCTAGTATCGCATATGCCAGTTTACGCCGCCTATGGCTTAGTAGACGTGATGTCCGGCTGGCTGAATGGCTGGCTAGCTGTCGACCAAGAGACGTGTGTACTGCTCAGAAGAAGTTCGCTCTGTCCTCCTTTATGGTTGACTGTGAGTCACTAGTGACCATTCAGAGTGGAAGACATGAAAAGCCTAGCTAGCTGTCTTTGATCATAGGTGTCTGAGTTCTCTCTCCCGTGTTAGTTGATAGCGGTAATAGAATGAGTAATATTGAGGTTAGGCATCAGTGGAGTGCTAGGTGAGGAGGGGAAATCAACAACAGACGAGGTTGTGAAATTACACTGATTAAGGTGGCTAGAACACGTGTTACGGATGCATTCCTAGCCACCCATTGACTTCCTAGACTACGCTCAATGTTAGCTGATATGGGATCGATGAGGTTGGAAAAGCGCTAGCACGTGGTGGTCAAGCTACAACATGGCTCCGTCAGTCAGTGAGATTCACAACAGTTAGTTTAAGCCATGCATGTAGGAAGATGTAGACCTCGTGGTTGGTGTCCTCGGGACGGTAAACACCGATGTCTGGAGACAATTATTAATATGGTTCGAAATCTGTTTTTACTTTCTTCTCTTGCTTTTTGTGTCCTTAGTGAAGTGGGCGACTCGAACTGCTGCACATCGGTGCAAAGTTCTATGTTGAAACCAGTCAGTCAGTCAAACGTACATATGTATTATAACATAGATAGTCATTACCTCTTTGTAGTCTACTTGTGGTTTCGTAAATGGTTACTTAGTTCATCTTTTTTATTTTTGAACATTTCTATCACTGTAACTAGTTTCACACATATTATGTCTAATAATTTCAGAAGGTTTGACAATAACAACACCATGCCAAGATTAATTGTGGAAATGCACAGATAGATAGAGTCGACCCTCAGTGTCACACAGAAATAGGTCGTATTGGTTTAAATTCCTAACCAATTTAATAGTACACATATAGTCAATGACTTAGGGACTTAGATGCCCTTTAAACTTCCTGCTTTTCCTTCCGGTTCCTAGAGAAAAAGAGTGTTTAAAGCTATTAGGTTTATCTGACTGTAGAGTTGTTTTTTTCTGGCGAGGCGTTGCAATCCTCATATCCAACTTTCATGTCACATTTCCAGGAATACTGCCGACAAGCAAACTACTCGAGGTTTAGGAGTGCGTCGATCGAGGATTGAACCTTGACCACCCGCATGACTGGCCGCCATTTTAGCTTTAAACTTTAGCCGTCACAAAATCCTTTAGAAAAGGCGTTTATTTGATGCAGAAATATGTGCAACTTACTCCATTATGGATAATATTTTTATTTTGATAGGTCACACGGTGTTACACAGTAATATTAACTGATGACGTCTGTAACACTGTGTGACTTAGCAAAATAAAATCTTATCCATAATGGAGTTATACTGCACCCCAGTGCCCAAGTTTTATACTTATATCTCAATGTTCAACTTACGTTTGTTGAAACTTCTGTAAGTTTGAATTCTTGATCTTTGTACTCCTTCTCTAATCTCTCAATAGTTTTGCATGCTTCTTTCCATTTGTTTTCCATATGATACAGTGACTCATTTAAATCATTTGTTCTATTTTTCAATTCTAATTCATGCTCCATTTGTATACGCGTTGCATCTATTGCTGCTCTACGTAATGCATCAGATCGAGCAGCTAATTCACCTTCAAGACGATTCACAGTCTCTTGTAATTGAGCTCTCTCAGTCTGTTTGTTTTTGAAATACCAGGAATGATACAAATACGGTGAATGGCAAAGCATAAACTTTACTAGATTTTCTAAACATAACCTAAATAGGGAAGAATTGGCAGTAGGCACCCACCAAAGGGGTTCGAATCCAGGACCTACCGTTTGCAGGGTCACAACTTCGCACTAGAGGTCCATCCAGTCGAGTGTGAAGATGGATTTCCCAACCACGACACTGGTCGGTAGTCGCCCTAAATCACGAATTGGTAGAAGTTGGAATTCGTGGGCCGTCGAATCGGGTTCCAGTGGCTGAATAGTATGCGAGCTTGCCTTGTAACCGGAAGGTCGTGGGTTCGAACGTGACTGGGTGTGTACTGCCGATGATTATCAAACTAGGATTAGACAGCTATCCAGTACACCCTGTTGGTTTTCGATGGTTCTCTAACTGATATCAACCGGTGGTCAAACTCGAAAAACCAGATATAATCCTTACAAACCAACTATTGAAAATAACCTAAATTCATTATAACCAGCGTTTACTGCCCATCAAATTCAGTACTTGAAGACACTATTATCCTCTCTGAGTCTTTGGAAATTGTTTGCATTAGAAAATCTTATTGAGAAGGGTGATTAAATGAGAAAGGTACTGAGAATAGTGAAAGGCGAAACTGCTTTTTAATCACATTTTATAGAATGTAAGCAATATGCGTCACTAAAAAATGACTTTGAAAATCACTTTAGCAACTGTAAACTAGTGTTCACAGTGTCTGCAAATGATATTACTGAATATGTTTCGAAAAACAAACAATAATTTGTTGTCGTCACATATCTGAAACTTCAGTAGTTCTTATATGCTGTCTGTCCGTATCTACTCAAAGTCCTAAAAGTTTTTAAAATCCCTGTTTATATTTGCAACCTTCTTCTTATTGATTTCTTCTGAAAAAGTATGAAAATCATGATGTTGAATGTGATTCTCTTGTGTAACTAGTGGAACGCAGAGCTTCAAGCAAGAGCTTTGGAGTTTCGGCAGCAGTAGTGTTTATTTTCTACGGGATGGGGTTGCCTCATGCCCAATTTTCATCTTTACCAGTCTTATCACTGGCTTTGTGAAGTATAGGAGTGCCTCGTCGGTGGCCAGGGATTGAACCACAGACAACATGCATAGTTTGCGAGCATCCTACCACCGTCCCACAAATGCACTAATGTTGAAAGTAGGCCACTAAAAGTAAATATATAGTTCACGTAAATTTAACGAAGGCTATAAAATGATACTGGCGAGAATTTTTAGATTAGATGGTAACAGCTACACCTAGTTAATAATTCCAGTTGAGTAAGTGCTGTTCTGTTAGTTATTAGGACAGTCAAGGCCCTCAACTGAACTGCAATCGCTTATTTCATGAATAATCCCTATCCAAGCATTAATGAAAATAAAACACACATAGTTCAGCGAAGAGTCCTTTTTCGGCAAGTTCATTTTCTTAGCTGCACAATCGCAAATATATATATATATATGAGTTAAAAATGTCAGAAACACTGTTAGGTAATTCCTTTTCATCAACCGTTTGTGACATCTCATCACCTACCTTTGTTACTACACTAGTTTCATTAACAACCAATTTTCTTGACCGTTTCTGTAATACATAAGTCTACCCAAAACTTACCGGTTTCCACCTGCTTAGTTAAAATAACCATAACCAATAGTAATTTTGCTTGATAAACTTAATGCGTACATACATACATACATACACACACATACATACATACATACATACATACATATACTACAAACATACTACATACATACATACATACCAACAACACATACATACATACATACACATACATACATACATACAAAATAACTTATATATATATATATATTTGCGATCGTAAATCTAAGCAAATGAATTCGCCGAAAAGAGACTCTTCGCTGATCTACGTGTTTTGTTTTCATTAATCCCTTATTTATCAATGTAAAATAATTATACTATTTCCATATTAGATTGTTTATTAGATATATCACACACTGTGAGTGAAACAGTATTATTTACTGGATGACGCCTCGAACACTGTTTATCGTTCATAATCACATCAATTATATTTAATCAATTTTATGCCTTACTATCTGTCTTGGAGAAGCTTTGAAACTTCTCAATTACCCTGATATATATTGCTTTGGTTTTTCTCGACCGTTGGGTGTCAAATTACGGTGTACCAACTACTATTACATCCGACTGAGGCGTTCAATTCCAATCGACGCTGTTTCGTGAAGTAACGAGACTCCTTGGAGTGAAACGTATCTCCACAACAGCTTATCATCCGACAGACCAGTCCTGTAGCTTCATTTTACATTTTACACGGAGCAAATAATAAATAGCATGTTGAAAATTCCTGTCTATGAATCTGTCTGCTACAACTCCATTATAGATAAGATTTTATTTTGATAAACTGTCTCACAGTGTAGTTTTATACAGTAATATTAACTGATGACCACAAGTTTCGAGCACAAACTATTGCCACTCATAATCATATCAAGTCACTCACCCACTCACACAACTTTCTTGTTTCCTGTGCGTCGGTGGCACAGTGGTTAGGACTCTCGCCGACCATGCACATGGTCCAGGGTTCGAGCCCACGCCGGCGCACACCTGATATCTATGGTTGGCCTGCAAAATTTGGGCTACCGATATCCATGCTGAAAATACCATCCTTGTACTAAAAATACAGTGTGGAATCAAGCTGTAAATCAAAAACATCAAAAAAAAAACATTTATATACATGTGTAGAATTGATGATTAGATATGTGAATACAAATCAGTAATATAGGAGACAATGTTCATTCAGAAATAATAATAATGATAATAATAATATGAGTGTTATTCATCAAATACAATCAGATGGGAAATTAGACGAGTGTTTTTATAGTTAAAATAAATAACTTGTTATTGATGAGGTTTTGTTCTCTGAGCTGGATGGTTAGTTTGCGAAGCTTTCATCACCTTACTGGGTGACATCTTCAGCGCATACTTCAATTTGAAGTGAGCTTTTAGATTTCTCCACGAACTGGACAGATCACAAAACAAGACCAATGGCGAATGAAATCCAATGGACCAGTCCTACCCCGATTCTACGGCAGACCCAAAATACACAAGGCAAATATCCCATTACGACCAATTGTATCACTCCCAGGAACTCCAACATATAATTTATCCAAAGAATTATACAGAAAACTAAAACACCTAACGGAATCTTGCGATCACTCCATCAACTCTGCTATCCAATTCCTAGAGAAAATCAGAGGCATCCAAATAGATGAACAAGAAATAATGGTATCATTCGACGTGACAGCATTATATACATCCATCGGACAAAACCTAGCAAAAGAAACTATGGAGCAACTACTTAGCAACGACGAACAACTGCCACAACAATCAAAAATGCAACACACAAGCTGGATGGAATGCATAAATCTATGCCTAACAACATACTTCCAATTCAACGGCCAAATATATGAACAAGTCAAAGGAACACCCATGGGATCACCAATATCAGGTCTGATTGCAGAAGCAGTGATGCAAAGACTCGAAAATATAATTCTACCAAAGATCAAACCCAAGATTTGGATACGCTACGTCGACGACACATTTGTAATCATCAAAAGAAACGAATTAGATAAAACTCACAACTTAATAAACAACGTCTTCAACGACATCAACTTCACAAAAGAAGAGGAATCCTAGAACAAAATACCATTTTTGGACGTCTTAGTCAGGCGAACAACTACAGGAGAATTAGAAACTCAAGTTTATAGGAAATCAACTCACACAGACCAAATACTGAATTACAACAGCAACAACCCAATAACACACAAAAGGAATTGCATACAAACACTATTCAAGAGGGCAAGGACTCACTGCAGCACTCCCACCTTAAGAAAAATTGAAGAAAAGTATCTCATGGACGTCTTCCAAAAGAATGGATATCCACGGAACTTCATCAAGAGACATATAGCCCCGAGCCAACCTACCAAAGCAAAAGCCACCAAGGAGAACACAAAGAAAATTGCCTTACCATATATAAAAGATATCTCAGAAATCACTACAAGACTCTTCAAACCTTTAGGAGTTGACGTCGTACACAAACCAACAAAGTCGCTTCACTCAATTCTATGTCAACCAAAAGACTCAACAGCGAAAGAAGATAAAACCAACATCATCTACATAATAAACTGTAACAACTGCGAAAAACACTACATCGGCCAAAGTGGACGTCCCCTTCGTCTTCGTATCCACGAGCATAAGCTAGCCGTCAAAAGACATGATATCCACTCCCTCATTTCACTACACACAGACAACTACGGACATCAATTCGACTGGGACAACGTTCAAATATTAGACAAAGGAAATAACAAGAATGCTAGAGAATTTTTAGAAGCTTGGCATTCGAGTGGATCATAAATCAATAGACACATCGACATAGACAAAATTTATCAACCAATAAGAAAGAAACTTCACAGACAAAGGGTCAAAATTCAAGTCAAAGAAACAACCGGTTCCAATACAAGTAACCTAGAAGGTGTGAAAACACACACAAACAACCAATCCCGTCCAAGGTCACCAGGAGATATGATTAATAAACTCGTGGAGAAATCTAAGAGCTCACTTCAAATTGAAGTATGCGCTGAAGATGTCACCCAGTAAGGTGATGAAACCTTCGCGAACTAACCATCCAGCTCAGAGAACAAAACCACATCAAAATCATACACCTGAGATACAAATCTTCTCTATAATATCTAAATAACTTGTTAGAATGTTGTGATGTACGTGAACTGAATTGAAATAGAATACAATTTAAGATTATTTATTATCCTCCTCTGATTTCACTGACTGACTGACTGAATCACTGATGGTAATAATATCTTCCATATCTCTGGTATTTGCATTGAGTCATTTCGATTGTGCATGTGTTGGGTGTAGACTGGATGAACCAGGCAGGATTCAGTAATCAACCTCTCTCTCTCTCTCCGCCTACCTAGATTACTTCTTAGAATTTTAACCCTCTCCCACCATGCTATTTTGTGATTGTGTGTTAATGCATGCATGCAGTGCAATGTAGTGCTGAGCTTTTTTCCAAATTACTCATCTTCTCGGGGTCAACCATTCTTACCTCAGCTAAATTCTTATGTTCCGACAATCTGATTACCCCCGATCTACTAGTTTGTCCTGTGTATGTAGTTGACCTAACTCACAGTCAGTGTAAGGTATTTTGTAAATTATATTATTTTGTGTAATTGGGTCAACCGA